GAAATTTTTGAAACTTTTGAACATAGGATTTCCAAGGGGCATTTTATCTGATCAGACAATGTAATATATCATTACATAGCCCTGTGGCTATTTGATAAGCCAATCAGGTTATCAAAACTATCCCGACAATAATCTCCACACCGGACGTATTCAAAAAATGAAGAAAAAGGTTTAAAAAAAATTAGCGCTCTTGCGAAAAACTTGATTTCTCCATCAGATCTTAGCGGATCAAAAGAACTAAAGTATCGCGGGATAGCCCCATTGATGGACTATCATATGACATCTGAATGATGCAATTTAGATGGCTAGAAAATAAATTATGGTACGCCGAAAATCTAGTATTTTCCGTTTTGGAAAACCGTAAAAACTAAAAAAAGTGGCGATCTTGCGAAAAAAGTGATTACTACGCCAGATTCCACCGAATCAAAACAACTAATGTGTCATTGGATAGCCCGAACAATGGACGATAATATGACATCTCAGTGGTAAAAATTCGCGAGTTAGGCAATATATAATGGAACGCTGAAAATCTATTTTTTTGAGTCTATTCAGACGCTTTTATTTCGAAAACTTCTCTCTTTCCTTTCTTAAACCTATGTCACTTAGAGTCCTAACGGTGGTCTATGGCGTGAATCTAAATTTAAAAGCCTCAATATAGTATAAATGGTCCAAAAGGGCCACAATCTTTGAAAAAAAGTCGAAAAATCGTTATATCTGTAAATCTGCTTCTAATGGTATAATGTCCTATGGATCTTTCTGAAACTTCTGGTACAGGAAGTTCCCATACCACTTGTTAAATCTATCCCGATAATGATCCGTAAACAGGAAGTAGTCAAAAAAATATTCGATATTTAAAAAAAAAAGACATTAAAAAAATCGGTGCTCTTGCAACAATCGGGATTTCACCGTCGGGTGTGATCGCATCAGAACATCTAAAGTATCGTTTGGTAGCTCGATAAATGGGCTATTGTATGACACACTTCCTGTCTGATTCCTGAAAGCCGGTTCAGTGCTGCTTGCAGGTCTAGTTATTATTATTATTCCAATTTATTTTTGATTAGATCTCAGCAACTGCTTGTCGGATCGTTACGATTTCTTCGGTTTGACTGGAAAAGTGGGTGTGACTTAGAGGATAAAGCTATTTTGAACGTTCTGCGACAATACGAAATGTCCGAAATCACCGAAGCTATCGTTTTTAGAAATATTGCAGTAATTTTAACAATAATCATTGGATTTTAACTTTCGATACATTTTGGCATAGCCGGAGACAGGGCACATAGCTACGCTACTTTTGATTTTTGATTTTCAGCGAATCTTCGCAGATTTACCAAAACTACAATTTTGATAGTTAGGTACCACTTTTCGAAAGCAAATATTATTTTTTTCAAATCTGGTATAACTGAAAGGGTGCGCCTTGGCGCACAAAATGTTGGGCCCAGTTTTTTTAATTTCGATTCCGTTTTCGGGCTATTTCGAAAACGGAAAAAGGTGTAAAATAAAGCTATTTACAACCCATCCAGCGTTTTCATATTTTAAAATATTACTTCGTAACTTTCATAAACTCGTAGCAATAATCTATACGGAGAAAATGTTTGTGAAAATTAATTTGTAATATGCGCAGTTGCCGAGAAATGGTCAATTTTGCATGAGTCACTCTTTACGCTATTGTGCCTGTAAAAGAGTCTATTATTTTTGGATTTTCATAAAAGTGAAACCATTTGATGCATAATGTCAATTGTAACTAGTTCAACTCAATTTAACATTTTCAATGTCACCGGAAATGACGAAATTTGGACAAAAACTGTATTTATAGCCTTCGAAACAAATAATTTATTCAAATGAGTCGTATTTGTTGTTTGTTTAAGATTTTGATATTTGATTCTAATCAACTAAAAAAATGAACCCATATGATCATATAGATATCACAAAATGGTTTCTAACTTGTTCAGTTGCGGAGAAATAGGCAATTTTCAGCAGGTCACTTTTCAAGGTTTTTTGTCCACAAAAGTGTCAATTATTATTCGATTTTCATGAAATTTTCACTGTGTGATACCTAATGCCATTTACGATTTCATACAAGAAATTTAAGATTTTCATTATCACCGAAAGTAACGTCATTTTGGCAAAAACTGTATTTTTAGCCTTCAAAACAGATATTTTATTCAAATGAGTCTGATTTGTTATGTTTTTAGAATTATATTTGATTCCAATCAGCAAATAGATTGAACCCATTCGATCATAGAGATACCAGAAAATGGTTTCTGACTTGTACGGTTGCAGAGAAATAGACGATTTCTACATGTCACTTTTCAAAGTTTTAGGTCTATAAAAGTGACAATTATTATTCGATTTACATAAAATTTTCACCATGTGATGCCTTATGCCATTTCTGATTTCATAAAACTAATTGAACATTTTCATTATCACCGGAAGTACTGTACACTTACATGTAACAAATGTATCAAATGAATTAATATTGCTGGATTTGGTTGATTCGGTGTCCATTTTATTTGATGTGTGCAATGCTTATGTGGAAACCTGTTTAATGGTTTCATTGGTACTGGAAGTGATATGTTTAGGGTAACGTGGCACCGGTTAAACCCGTCATTACTGCATCGCAGTTCTAGTTATTATTATTATTATTTCTTTTTTTTTTGTATTTCCTTCAAATCGGATTTCTCAGAATCTAACCATGGGAACTTTCTGAAACTTTGACCTACACACACACACACACACACACACACACACACACCCACACACACACACCCCACTAAAAAAAAAATTGGTGGTAGATTTTGATTAAATATATTTTCAAAGCGTTTTACGAATCCGAAATCACTGAATTTTACGAACGAAGAAATTAACCTACATATCTATAACTTTGTGGTTTTTTGACCGATTTTACTAATTTTTTCTTCTTTGAGCTCCCTGAAAAAATTCATTAGCATCTGCAATTTCGCATTTTCGAATTTCGAAAATTCATTGCTGTGATTTCTACCCGGAAGTTGAGACCAACTTTACAACTTCTTTAATAGTTGCATGATTTTCATGAAATTTAGTACGTAAGTAGATCTTACCGATGCGACTTGAAAGAAATTTTCTAAGTTATCTCCCCTTGGTGAAATTAAGGATCAAAGTTTTTAAAAAAAAATCGACGAAATATAGATCAGATTGCTTTGAAATTTTGTTTCTGTCTTGGCTAAGAAAATACTGATGTGTACACAAAATATGAAGTCTGTCGATTGAACCGCAAGTGCCACTATCTTGAAACGTGAAAAATCCTGAAGGCTTTTGCAATATTTTACTTACAGACATGGGAGTTACATTTTCTGAATCATTGAAGGAATACCTTAAAACCTATGGATCAGAATTTTTATTTTGGTCAACTGATGGTCACCATTTTGAACTGAATATGAGAAAAAATGAAAAATCCGCATTAACGGACATGAAAATGAACACAATAGGCCATAGTTTGGTGAATACGTCTCCTATTTCCAAAATGAATACATTTCTGGATAGTCGGGATCAGGGTTGAAATTTTGGTATGTGCAAATTTCACAATTTCGAATTTTGCCTTTGACATTTTTCGTGCAGACAAAGTTGTTTATGAGTGAAAAATTTGCATTAATGGCTTAGGAATGTTCAGAATAGGCTGTCGTTTCGTGAATTCGTCTCCTATTTCCGAAATTAGTACATTTCTGGTTAGCCTCCTTCCAGGAATGGGTAGTGGCTTTTGAATATATATTGTTTCAAAACGTTCTACGAATCCGAAATCACAATGTTTACTGACAAAAACTGTTGACCTACATAGCTGTAACTTTGTGACTATTTGACCTATTTTACTAATTCTTTATTCTTTGAGCACGTTAAAACATTTACATTAAATCTGCTATTTTCGAATTTTGAAAATTACGTCATTGACATCTCATCCTGGAAGTAAAATCCAACTTGACAACTTCTTTAATATTATCACGATTTTCATTAACCTTGGCATGTAAGTAGGCCTCGCTGTTCCAACTTTAACGATGTTGTTAGAAGTTTTCTAAATTATCTCCCCTTTGAGAAATAAAGGATCAAAGTTTTCAAAAAAAAAAAAAAATAAATAAAAAATAGGTCAGATTGCCTTGAAAATTTATTTCTGTACTATGTAAAACACGGCTGATGCATATGCATAATGTGGAGTTTGTTGATGGAACCGAAGTGCCACCAAGTGAAAAATACCTAAGACTTTTGCGATATTTTACGTACAGACATGGGAGTTACATTTTCTGATTCCTTGAAGGAATTCCTAAAAATCTATCGGAGCAGATTTTTGATTTCAATATGAAAAATAGTTAAAAATCAACGTTAACGGGAGTGAAAATAAACATATTTTGCCGTAGTTTGGAGAACTCGTCTCCTATTTCCGAAATGAATACATTTCTGGATAGCCGAGATCAGGGTCGATTTTTTGGTATTTGCAAATTACAAAATTTCGAATTTTGCCTTTGACGTTTATCATGCCGACAAAGTTCTTTACAGGACAATTTATTTTCTTAATTTTCAAAAGTTGTCCTACATATTCGAATAGCTGAGGTCAGTCTTATTCCCAAAATGTAAGTTCTATTTTAAAGTTATCTAATTTAATTTTTTTCCATTTTTTCCTGCCATTTTCATTTTTTTTTCTGCCCCATCCTGTTTTTTAAACGGCTTGATACATTTTTCTGAAACTTCTGGAATGGGAAGTCAATCCGATTACAGCAATACAAATATCAGTTATTTCCCTTCATTTTACAGATTATTTTTTCGCCCGGGTGAAATGTTTCTCGGTATATTTAGGCTTGTTACTTCACAAGTTTTTGACCGATTTTTTATATAACCCTTTGTAACAGAAGTGACCGTAAATATGAAAGCTTTTATATCTGCTATGCAGATCTAGTTGTTTTTGTTATTCTACATCACATATATAATTTGGTATTTAAAATGAATGTAATTGTTTTGTTTGTTATTTTACATTACAGAAAGAAAGTGGGTATTTAAGACATGTGTATAATGTTTTTGACAGAATAGGGTATGTGATCGGCAATGAGAATTCTGATTGGGAAGTTTTATGGGCACATGATTACCCATTTGTATCTTTATCTAAACATCTATCAGATTTAAAGCCATACCAGAAGGTAAGTAACATTATTAAAGAGTTGGAAAAAATCCCAAATGGGACTCTCAAGCTTAAAACTTGTCGGAAGACACAATTAGTACAGAAACGGCAAAATACAATAAATGTGTCAGAATTACCAAAAGTTTTCTCAAAAAAAACCCTTCAAAAAAGCATTGTGCTGTGAAAATGAAATAAAACCAAGTACGAACAATCCAAACCATAAGACAGAATTCGAAGTCCTAAAAAACGTTATAGGCAAAATAGTGTATTCAAGCAAAATAGTGTAATCGGCAAATGGACTGCTCCTCGTGTACAAAATACACGACAAACAGTGGTAACAGGTGTCCGGAAGAGTGAGCTTACCCTGCCTGTAATAAAAGATACCATATTTTTCGGTGTATTAAGATGAAGTTTTTTTACCAAATATTTTATTTTCTAGAAGGGGTGCGCCTAATACATAACGTTAAGCAAATCCAGGCGTTTTCCGTGTCGACACCAAAGTCGGAAGTTCAAGAAATAACTGCCCTAGAATCAACACATGTTGACCAGGTGACGCTACCTTAAAAGCTTATGATATGTTATCACTCAAATTAAATACAATACTGTTCCTTTTCGTGTCCATTTATATTTGTCAATAATGTTTTAGATATGTTTAAAATGTGTCCGTATTTGTCAACCTTTTAGATACAGTTAAAAAATGTCAATAATTATCACCCGTATTTCTGTTATTTCGTGCATAAAAAAGATGTTGACATTTTCTGCTATTCTGTGTACGGTATACCGTTTGTCATAACCGGCAATGCAAACACCATATAAGAAAAGCATATGTATCGTTAAAATTTCTTGCTATTTCTACAACATATTTCTGTTATTCTGTATACTCTTTGACATTACCAGCAGTTCTAACACGTCCCCGTTCAAGGTCAGTTGTGTTATAAGTCAAGTTGACGAATAGGGCAGGGCATGCATTCATACAAGTATTTTCATTGGCTCAATATAAGTCATCGGTATTAAGGGTGGGATTACAGTTAAACTGACATCGTATATATTGAAGTTCTTCAGTCTAACCTGTCGTCGAAACGTCAAATCTACTCGACGTATATCATTGACATAGTCAACCAATTCCTACTCAATTTGTTTCTGATCGATCTAAATAGCTACAATCTAGGTATTGTCATGCCGTGTGTAGTTGGCGGGGCAGTGGACACCATAGTTTGATTGTCAGTTGTTTGGATAGTATAATTAAACTAGAATTATTGTTTCTCTTTTACCGGTAGTCAAGATTTAAAGTAGCTAAGTCTCTAACTCAGTATCATCCAAAGTCTTACACATTGAAAACACGAATTATTTGTCAATTTAAATCAACACTGATGTAGTGATCTTACCGGGAAAAGGTAGGCTTCTGATATCCAATATTTAAGACAAAATAAACATTTTACCATTGGTACACGAATCGTGTACCATAGTGTGTTTCAGCATCATTTGTAACAAGTGACCAGGAAGAATGAGGCTAGACATATTCCACAACTCATGTCAATCAGTGACGTCATATCTTATCTGGAGAGCATGCACAACAGACTGGAATAACCAGACGCTAAAAATTGCCAGACGGTTGAGACTCATTCCGTATTTCACTGGACATAACTGATTTGAAATTAAAGAGTCAAAACAGAAACAATTGAATGTAAATCAGTTCATATACAATCAGATTACATTATTATATGTGTTGCGACCCGTTTGGGTCAATTTCTACGTCCAAAATATTAGTGATTTAGCTCCTTTAAGTCGTGAGTAACTGATCATGATAAATTATTTCTACAGTTATTATTTCATTCGTTTATCATCAATACCTATTCAGGAATCCATTTACAAGCGTCCTTTTTTAGGGCAGCATCAACCCAGCTACAGTAACACCTGTAGGTTATACTTTTGTAGCTAGCCAGATTTCAAATATTTTTCAGGCAGTTGGTCTATCATGACATAAGATAACTGGATTCTTAATACAGTTTGTGGGTACTGGTTTGATTTTTTTTTTTTCAATCACCCTTTCAACTTCACTTGCCTAACCACCTCTATATAATTCAGAGTAGATGGAGTTAGTTGATTAATTAAATGTTGAGTAAGAAGGCTTTATGCCCAGGTTTTCCCTGGTTTTCATGCCAATCAGTTTATTTCTAATATCGTTTTAGTTCAGAAAAAGACTGACGATTATCGTCCTGTTATAAACCTGAAAAATTTAAATATTTATATAAGTTATGAACATTTTACATAGGAAACTTTATGCTTTGCTTCTATCAGTATAATACATAGAGATGTTTTTCTATCATCAATGGATCTTAAAGATGCCTTTTTTCTATTCCTATTCGTCCAGATCATCATAAACATTTAAGTTTTATTTGGTGAGATTAGATGTCTCCCTTTCAGAGTTTCCTCAGCTCCAAGAGTTCTTTCTAAAGTTTTTCAAATCAAATTTTGCAAGCTTTCGCAATCAGTGTATACATTGTTCATATTTTATAGACAATTCCATTTTCTCTTTTCCACTAACAATAGTAACAACACTGCAAAAGAATGTGTATTTACACACAGAAAGCTGTAAGATATTTTCAAGAGCTAGGCTTTTGTTTAAATGAACAAAAATCTTGTGTAGAACCGTCTAAAGAAATTGTTTTTTTATAATTTACTATTAATTGTCATTTATTTACTGATCTCTTAGTCTTACTCAACAAAAGACAGATAAAGTCAAAAACAAGGCCAAAGCTTTATTAACATCGAACAAGCTCACTATCAGACAAGTAGTGTATTTTTTGGGACTGTGTTCCTTTTCTTGAACAGAAATACTGTTAGCACCTTTACATATACTTTACCTAGATAAAAGAGTAATCCAGAAGTTTACACAATGTAATTATTCATATGGGTATTTTCCCTCGATGACGTTTGAGTTAAACTGGTGGTTACATATAATATTAGCATTTAAATGGATTGAGGTCATTGTGCAGCAATTTATCCAATACGCATACCTGCTCAATGTGATAACACTTTATCCTATATTGATCATATATTTATAATTTTGGGGAACTATAGATAAATTGTTTTGAAAAAAACAAACAAATTTGGTACTGGTGTGCTTCTAGAAATATTTTTATCTGCTAAATATAGATCAATTATGTCTTATAGCATAGCCGATGCATTATCTAGATATTTTTCTGATTTCACAGAATTGAAGTTAAATAAGCACATTTTTCAGAGGGCTTGTAATCGTTTATTTGTACCGGACATATATCTATTTACATCACAGCTTATTTTCCAAGTTGTAAAGTATGTATCTTGACAGTCTGATCCATTTTGTTTGGCTCATGATGTATTTTAGTTTAGTTGATTTAATTTTCAGTTTTCACCCATACATTTTCCTCCTCTCACTGAAAGTTTCAGTGTAGTTGCTAAGTACCGGTATCTTAACAAAATAATCAGAGACCATGCGATAATTATAGGGCCAGGATGGCCAACACTGGTATGGTTTTTCTCGACTCTTAGCAATGCTAATTTCAAACCCCATTCATTTGCTCCTACGGAAGGACCTCTTGCGTTTAGTTCACCATGGGATGTGCTACCCCATGGGAGGCATAATTTTATACATGAACCCTTGTTTCATATCAAGCAATCCCTCACTAATAGAGGACCTTAACAATACGCTACCGACCCTATTGTCAGGTCCAGGAGACCAGGAATTAACAAACAGTATAATCTGGCCTTGAGACGATGGAATTTTTAGGTAGACCGGAAACAAATTGATCCTTTGGATCCCACTGTAGAAAATATTGCAAATTATTTGAGTGATTTATTGTCTAGTTTTCCTATAGTTTTGTTAACACCTACAGATCAGCAATCGTTCAGACTCTGGATGTTTCAGGCAGCAGGCAGTTCAGAAACCATACCATTATTAATCGTTTTTTGGAAGGTATTTTTAATCTTGATCCTCCAAAATCTTGTTTTGTAGCAACCTGGAGTGTTTCTATTCTATTTTGTTTTTGCAAGTTTTATTCGCTTTAGAAGATATATATCTTTGAAGTTCTCACTTATAAAACAGTGAGCTTAGTGGTTATAGCTACAGCCCTAAGGTGCCAGACATTAACAGCTTTTAGTATTAATCGCTTTCTAGATTATGGCAATGCTATTAGGTGAGGAAGTAAAAGTTTGAAAAACTTCTGGTCAATCTTCTCCTCTATACCAAGTCAATTTGGATTAGTTTACTGATAAGACTTTATGTCCATGCTATACTGTCCATGCTATACTCTGCAATATTATCTTAAATTAACTCCAGATGTTGGGAAGTCTTCTCAAATTTTTGTATCTCATACATGTATTATACTCAGAGCAGTAACGCCATCTACCATTGGTCGATGGTTTGAGAAACCGTTGTGCTGGCAGGTACTGATATAAGCCTCATTCAATTCAACTTCTTGATCTGCATATTTTAATTCTGGATGCTCTATTTCAGACAATCTTAAAACAGTATCATGGAACAATGATAGGTTTTGTTTTTTTACAAGTTCTACTATAGATCTACAGAAAATAATGCATTTTTTAATTATATGGATAAATTTTAACAGCCTACTACTATTTGGTTTCTTTTGTTGACAACCCTTTCAATGATGCCCGAAGGGCATATAATGGAATATAATCTCCTCATCCAATAGAAGGATTATATGAATATATATAGCCTGAGGGCTCGAGGATTTATATACCCTCCCTTTAAGCCCTCCCAGGGCTATATATGGTTGCCAACAAAACTTTAAAGAGACAACTAGTGCAGAGTCTTACCTCTTATTTATAGTCAGGCGTATATTGACACAGTGCTGCACGTGCAATTGTGCTATTTTTAGACTTTGAATGTTGAGTTAGTATACATATTTATTTAGATCAATGAGCAATATGCAATATAAATCCTCGAACCCTATGGCCATATATATTCATATAATCCTTCTCATCCATCGCGCCCTTCGGGCGCTCGGATGAGAGGAG